TTTAATGACGTTACCGAGTTCTCAGAGCTCGTACCTCGATAACTTATCATTTTAGTAAAAATATATTTTATTTTGAAGCATTAATTAATTTATTGAATGAATGAATGGTGAATAATTGAATGAATGAATGGTGAATAATTGAATGAATGAATGATAAATAATATAATGAATAATGAATAATGAATGATAGAATGAATGAGCAGGAGATCTTCCATTCAATTTTCGAGAAATGAAATGCATGAATGGAAGTTTCTTCAAAAATAATAAAATATCTATGGTTTAAATTTTTAAAAAAGAAATTGACGGGAAATGTGGTTTTTTTGTCATTTTTGTAAATTCCAATTTACAATTTATTAAACATTTTAAGAGAAAAAAAACGTATTTATATATTTGCTTGAGTTTTGGTCCAGGCCACATGGTATCTTTCTGTGTATGAAAAAAATCGACTTAATTTTTTCTTTATAATAAAAACTGGTTTTATTTGGAACCCTTTTTCTTTTTTATTTTCTAAAAATAAATAAATATTGATTTTTTTTTAATTTCAAAAAGTACTTTTTGGGGGTTACAAAGAATTTAGCATAGAAAAATAATGTAATAAAAAGATAATATGAAATAATCAATTTATACCTTAGATCTGATTCTGTAATGTCATCTTCTATTCCTGTAATAAATAATGAAGTCTAAAATATATTTTTATATTAATGTTACACTAATTAAAATTAAATTTTATTATTATATTGTATTGTGGGAAAAGCATGAGCAAATGAATCAATGATAACATACTATAGTTTTATCTTCAGGAGGGGTAATGTTTGAACCACCACCACCTTTTACCCGATTAAGCATTTTCTTGGCAACTGGATCATTGGTTCCATAATATCTATCTTTAATGTTTTGATGTGACAACTCATTTTCTTCGGGTATTTCATGCCTTTATTCCCACCAAAAAACAATCGTGTATAAAAACAGGTTAAATAATTAAACTGTCACCCAAAAAGCAAATCACTCAAATCAAAAATTACCCACCTGTAAGGACATTCGTCGCCACGTGTGCAGTTTCCTTTAACATAAAATGAACAAATATGTGGTCTATTTCGTTTGTAATAAGGTTCTGTTCTAGCTAATTTTTTTAGCATGTCTTTTCCTGCTGAATCAGCCTTTCCATAATTTATAAGGCTTTCTGGACCCGAAATCTTATATAACAAAAAGTGATTAATTGATGGAGAAACAAAAATTAAATAACTAAATTCATTTAAAAAGAAATAATTTTATATCACCAACCTTTCCTTCAATATTTTGTGCAAAGTACTCTCTGTTAATATCAGATCTAGGCGCATCATTAGTAACATTAAGAGCAGTATCACGAACTTGAACTGGAAGATTATATTGTAAATCCAATAAACATGTTTGACAGACATTTTTTAATTTTGCACAGGTTTGACATATTTCTGTTTTTTTATATCTCATTCCAGCACCAGGAAGCCATCGGAAAATTGTAAAAGGACGAGAGCACACCTATCGCAAAAACCAATAAAAACAATAAATAATCGAAGAAATAAATTTTAAAAGTCAAAAAAATAAAAAACTCACTTTACATTCTTTACCATAACATTGTTTAGTCTTTAAGAAAAAAAGTTTCATCAGTCAAAAATTTAAAATGAATATGTAAATAATAACAATAGGTAATACATACCATTCGAACGTAAGGGTTATCTCCCAAACAAGTTTCGCAAAGGATTGGAAATTCCTAAAATAAAAAATAATAATAAATAAATAGAATGACAACCAAAGAAAAAAGCTATTTTTATTTTTTGATCTGAATTGTTAAAACTTTACAGATTCTTCCCATCCTTGCTTGTTTGGATCAGATTTGTGTGCCATTTGTCAAAAAATTAAAAAAATTAAGACTCTTTAAAATGTATTTTTTGGGAATATTTGCACCAATTATTTAATATTTATATATTCAATTACATAAATTTCTAAAAAATTTTTCTTTGATTGTAAAATTAGGGTGTCAACTACAAATAGTTCACTTGGTTAAGTAAGGTCCCTAAAAATTATTACAAGAAAATATAATTTTAGTCTGCTAAAAATAGTATGGAACGAAAGAAACTTACCTTTTCACTGTTAAAAAATTTTATAAACCTGTTTTGTTAAAAATTTTGTAATTTTTTATAGAAAAAAATCGAAAACAGTTTTTGATTTCTGGGATAAAATTTAGCATCACGATTGTCAAAAACATCATCATCATTATGAAAGCTTACCAAACGTCAAAATAGTAACTAAAAATGCGGGAGATTCTAAAGCACAAAAAATTTAAGATTCTAATGTTCTTTAAACTTGACGTAATCGAAGAAAAGTTTTGAATTAGTAATTTATAATTTTTATAATTAATTGTTCTATTCAATCCATATTTTATATATTCATAATAAAATTTTATTTCCCTTTGAATTAATTTCGTAACATATACCTGGATAAAAAAATACCCTCAAACACACCACCATCCAACCATGTTTAAATCAATAGTAAATTAAAAAGGTTTGGTTGGTTTTCCAAGTTAATTATTATTTAATTCGTTTACAAATACATTACATCTTACTTCACTACATGAGAACTAACAAATTGAATCCATATACCACTTTGAAATTGAAAGTAAATGTTATAATGTGTATTTAACATAATAATAATATCACTATTTTCTTCTACCCTCTTAATATTTAATGTTAATAATAATATTAATGACATTTGAAATTGGATTTGTTTAAAAATTTCAATTCGTACAAGCAAAGTCAAAACTTTTCTTCTACGCTTTTAATACTACCATTAGTTTTTGCTTGCTTCCCCTTCTAGTTGAATATAGAAGGATCCTTAAAGGATCCCTAATAGTAAATCAAGGAATCTTCGGGGATATTTTTCAAGGGTTCTTCGCGGGCGGCGAAGGATCCCTACTAATAAAAATTTGGGGGAATCCTTAAACTCGAAAGTTTCCTGATGCATTTACCAGAATTTCCATAGAAATTTTTATATGTAGGGTAGGAAAGTAATCAGATTTTGTAAAGTCCATGAAAGAAAAATGTACAATTCAAAAATATAATAATTAACTGTGCACACTTTATTCAAAATCTGTGACCAACAGTTGGCTATGATCGTGACCACTATTATAAAACGCGAAATATGATATTCAATTAAGAATAGACTGTTATAATTTTAAAATAGATTCACGTGTATATATATTGCATTCTTTCTCAAAAAAAATAAGATTAATTAGGGATATGATAGAAATCTATATATACACACTAGGTATATATATTTTTAATCTATTTATCAACTTGTAAACAATGCATTCTCCTTTTTCTCCACTCCTCGTTAACTCCATAATATATAATAAATATACAAATAATATATAAAATATAAATTATATGAATTATATAAATAGCCTAAATAGAAATTCTTAAGTCCATAAAAGTAAATAATTTATTTAATAGCAGTAGTAGTATTGTTAATATTATCTTCTTTCTTAATGATTTCTACATAATTAGCTGGAAACAATCCTTGCTCCCCATTTCTTAAACGGCCTCTCCACCATTGAGAAGGTTGTCCCCACATATCTACCTTACTCAAAATAGCAATTATATCACCACGCTGGAATGTTAATTCAACCTGTGACTCCCCTCTAAAATCATAAGTTGCTTGACACATTTCAAGATTGGCTAATAAATTATTATTATTATTACTACTACCAACATCATTAATATTATCATTTAGAATAGTTTTGGAAGAAGAATTTGCTAAATCAAATGATAAGTTTTGTTGTTGCTGTTGTTGACGTCTACCAGCAGAGAAAGCATGTATAAATTTATGCATAAGATATGGTAATCCAAAAACTGCAATTACAAAAAATAATAAAGGTCGTCGAGAATATTTACGTTGCTCTTGAAATTGTTGATAATCAGCCACATTCAAATTACTAGGATCAACTGGTGGCTGTCTACCGGTCAGTTTGTAAAATAAATGCTTTATCCATCTAATCAATGCAAAAATACTTAAAACTTGACCCAAATAATTTCTCAAACTGCCAAATTGATCAACAACTCCAACCATTGCCATAAATGATGAATGTGTAGCAAAATATGTTGATTCCAACATTTGAGCAAATCCACCAAATGCATTCACTATTGACTCAATCATTTGAAAGCCTGCTGCTGTATTGGCCTCCATTCGTTGTGTAAGTGACATTTCATCTGGTCCACCTGGTCCCATCATTCCACCACCGCCACTACCATGACCAAAGCGATTATATGGTGAACCATATGAATTATAAGAGCCATATCCACCATATCCACCACCATATGAACCATATCTACTGTATGGCGATGAATAACTTCCATACCTAGAGTATGGTGACCCATAAACACCACCATACGAGCTGCCATACGAGCTACCATACGAGCCGCCATACGAGCTGCCATATGAGTTATAACTAGAGTATGGTGAATATCCTGTACCATAAGATCCATAATCTATGTATGATTAATTGATTATTAATTAATATTAATTTATATTTGATTTAATTGATTTCAATAAACTTACTTCTATTTGTTGTACCAGTATTCATTGATGTAGTAGTAGGTCTGGGCGGAACAACTGGTGTTGAATCATTATTATTGATGTTGTAATTGTTGGTTGTAGTAGAACTATTTAATATAGGAGGACCTTGTAAATTTGATGGTGTAGATCTAGAAATTGCAAGTTGGTTGGGGTTATTATTGTTGTTGTTGTTGTTATTATTATTATTATTAGCTCTTTCCCATGGTTTTGGAGGTGAGGGGTTACTTATTTGTTGAGTTGCCATTTATATGATCTCAAGTTTTTTTTTTCTTTATATAAAACATAGAAATTCGTGCAACACGCACATTGAGCAAATTATAAAATTATAATTGCACAGTTTTTCCGCAAGTTCAAACTTTATAGATCTCCTAATTCTGTGTATTACATTGAAAAAATTGAAAAAAAGACAAACAAAAAAAAAAACAAGCAAATATGGAATACGAGGACGTTTTGACTAATCAACCTGTTGTAATCGATAATGTATGTATATAAAAGAGATGTGTATATCATATAAGTAATGGTAGAATAATTTTCTTATTTCATTTTGTTATTCTTCTTAAGGGCTCTGGGGTGATTAAAGCTGGTTTCGCCGGTGATGATCAACCAAAATGTCTTATTCCCTCATAGTATGCATTATTTATTAAATTCAAATAAGACTTTTATATATATGTATGTATTTCAAGAAAACATAATATTTGAATTTTTAAAAAAAAAGTGTTGGACGTCCAAAACATGTACGTATTATGGCAGGTGCTGTAGAAGGTGATGTTTTTATTGGACGTAAAGCTCAAGAGTTACGAGGACTTCTCAAAATAAAGTATCCGATTGAACATGGAATTGTATCTGATTGGGACGATATGGAACGTATATGGAAATATATTTATGAGGAAGAATTAAAAACTGCTCCAGAAGAAGTATGAATATTATTATTATTATATAATAACGTGAACAAACACATGCATTTAATTACAATGGTTTCTGTTTATTAGCATCCAGTCCTTTTGACTGAAGCTCCACTTAATCCAAGAAATAATAGAGATTCTGCTGCACAAATGTTTTTTGAAACGTTCAATGCACCAGCTTTGTTCACATCAATTCAAGCTGTCTTGAGTCTGTAAGTATAGATGCAGAGAAAGAGATAATCTTTTTTTTTAAAAAAGTTGAAAATTTTTTGTTTATAAAAAAAAATTTTTACGTTAGTTATTCTTCAGGTCGAACAACTGGTATAGTCCTTGATTCCGGTGATGGTGTAACTCATGCTGTACCAGTATATGAAGGATTTGCTCTTCCTCATGCTATTCGTAGAGTTGATATTGCAGGCCGGTAAAGTATTATTATTAATAATATTACTATATTTCTATTTATTATTAATATTAGCACATTATCAATCAACAACATTATCAACACTATTTACTGTTACTATAATTATCATTATATGACTGACTTTCTTTCTCTTTTCTCAAAAAAAAAAAAAAAAATTTTTTTTATAGTGACGTTACAGAATATTTACAATTACTTCTTCGTAGATCTGGTTATAATTTTCATACCACTGCAGAAAAAGAAGTCGTACGTACCATAAAAGAAAAGACTTGTTATGTTGCAATAAATCCGAATAAAGAAGAAAAAGATACCAGTAGAGAATTTAGTGATTATGTATTGCCTGATGGTAATGTTGTCAAGGTAAATAAATGTATACAATTTTTTTTTTGGAATTAATTAACCAACTTTTAAAGCTATTTATTATTATAATTTATTACAATACTGTAATAGTTGAAAACTGAAAGATTTAAAGCACCCGAAATCTTATTCAATCCAGAATTGATTGGAGAAGAGTATGCAGGCGTTCACCAAGTTGTTGTTGATTCAATTAATAGAGTAGATTTAGATTTAAGAAAGTCTTTATTTGCAAATGTTGTGTTGTCTGGTGGATCAACACTTTACAAAGGTAAATTTATTATTAAGATGTGTGTGCATGTACATATGTAATATATTTTGTTTTACTTTACTTATTGTTATTATTATTATTATCACCATTATAATTATCATCATCATCATTACCATCATCAAGATTTTGGTACAAGATTGCTGAATGAGGTGAGGAAATTGGCCGTCAAAGATATTAAAATTAAGATTTATGCACCTTCAGAAAGAAAATATAGTACATGGATAGGTGGATCTATATTAGCAGCTCTAAGCACTTTCAAGAAGGTAATACAAAAAAAACCAAATTATCACATCATCATTGATAACATATTAACATATGTTTAAATTTGTTTAGATGTGGGTTTCAGCTGAAGAATATCAAGAAGATCCTGATATCATTCATAAAAAAAGTTTCTAAAAAGTTTTTTATTAAATAACAATAACCCTAATTTATTACCATTTGGTTTACTATTTATTTACTATATATATATATTTTATAATTTATTTTATGATTCTTCCTTCTTCCTTCTGTAACATTTAAACAATAAACTGCATGAATATATTTATATTGAATTTTTCTTTGATTTTCTTTTTTTTTTTGGAAGTTAGCCGTTTTAGGAATGGTCATTTCCACATTATGCATTTAATTAACAATAATGCTAGAGCAAACTAAATAAATTTATTTATTGATCTACAACATCCATTGATCTACAAACTCAGCTCCAAATACAGTCGGATCTCCATAAATGCACACTCTCCATACTCTGCACTGCACGGTATTTTTTCAGTCCCACTCATATGAAAACTCCCTCCATAAATGCACCCCACATGACTAATGTATAAAATTCATCGTGTAACTAGGATAAATTTAGAAATCATCGGCAAAATTTTTGATTTGATTGGATAATTTCCAATATGTAATGTAATCCAATTTCATGACTGTGTCACTAAATGCTTTCATAAAATGCAAGTTGATGAATTTTTGAATATCCCTGAAGAAAATATTGTCTGTGAGGTTCCAGATGATGATAAAATAATCAAAGAACTTGCAGAAATATAAAAATAAAATGAATGTACCTGCTGACAATTTTGAGAAGATAACATTAAGCCTTGAGGAAGCATTAAAGGTCTTGAAACTGTACATTCATTTTTATTACAGCAATAAAAATAACACTACAAACAAATAAAATTGGTTAATAAAATTGAAAGATATATCAATATAAAAAAAGTAAATTCATCAAAACAAACTACAATGGATAGTTATTTTAGTATTACTGTATTTAAAATATTGTGTATCATTTGTGACCAATGAAATTGCTTCTCTCCATAAATGCACACCCTCCATAAATGCACGCTGTCTCTTGGTCCCAAGGGGGTGCATTTATGGAGGTCTGACTGTATGAAGAGCACAATCATTCAATTCGAAATTTTTTCACTCGAAAATTTTCAGGACCATTGATTTATTTGCAGGACATGTCACACGAGAAGATCTTTTTTTTGGAATTAGCAAAAACCAAAAAGAATCAATGTTGATATCATAAGTGTAAATGAACGAATAATAAAAGATTTAGAAATGCAAAATGCAAATTATTATAAACTAAAAGAAAAAATAAGTGCACCACTCAATGATCAACAATTAAGAGTAGAATTAATTATTGAAATTGCTAAGCATGAACGAAACAACTTATATGATGCTATCATTAATTTAATGAATGATCAGGTTTGATTTAGTTAAAACGAAATCTAGTTATTGTAAAGCTTATAGAAACACTTACATTCAATGAAAGTAAAATCAAAATCAACATGAAGATAAAAAACTTTTAAACATGTAGTGGTGGTTAATGCAATCTATGGAACACGTCATGGAAGATATGTCTCAGGAATTATTAATCTTGTAGCATCAGCAATAAAATATTCCTTAACAAGATCAAAAACAGTTATAAATATTGATAATCATATTACATCTGATGGAAGTTATTTTTACTTTCAAAAAATGTCTAGAAGAATTAGAGGCCTGCAATGTGACCCAACCCGGACCGGACCGCGTTGCAGGTTGGACTCGGGTTGATACTTACACTCAACATTTACACTGTGTAAAAAATTGTATCATACAATGATGTTCATTGTAAATAATTATTTATTAGTCAATATTACGATTTAAGCGATGAAGATGAAAATAATATAGGTGAGATTGGTCGGTGTTTATTATTGAAATACAAAAGGATATAGATTTGGTTATATTAGAATGATGGAATGATAATCAACACCAATATCCAAAGCTTGCAATATTAAACGCTTACTATCTTTCAATTCCATCTTCTAGTGCATCAAGTGAGAGAAAAACAGGCAACAGGATTAACTATCAATCAACTTCTTTAAATCCATAAACAATAGACAGTATACTTGTGTTGCGAGGTGCGCTTTATTTTTTAATATTCTATTATAACCTTGGTATAATATAATAATATGTTAAATGTTATATTATCTGATAAATATATATAATGTATAATGAAAAAAAATAGGATTTGGAAATTATGATTTGATGTGAGTTCGGGTTGGACACAGATTCGATTATTATAATGGCCTATACAGACCTCTAGGAATAATTATCAGATGTGGAAGAAGCTTTGCCAAATGTATTATCATCTACTGCTTTGACAATGAGCAAAAAGGGCAAAAGAACTACCTTGATCATGGATTTAATAAAGCTATTTTTTCGTATCGTTATCAGTTTTGTTGCACTCAATATGGAACCCAGTAATAAAGTACAACATATAAATAACCCTTGGGTATATATCTTTTTTAATGAACGACAATACAAAGAACTTTGAACTTTCACCTGAATCAAGAAGAAATTGACAAAAAATTATATACTTTCAGAGATCCTTGGTCTATTATGCAAAGAAAAATTAATTCAACCAACGTTATATATGTAGAAAATAATGAATCAAACAATAGATTTACAAATACTGTCCTAATTATAATAAACAAAACATTCAAAATTGAAAGCAAAGTTGTAATGTTAAATTACCTATACTGGAGGAATTGCGAAAGCAAAATATAATTGAGGAAGTTAACACATCAGATAATTATGAAAAGCCTCTCATCTTTAAATCACATAATTTTGAAAGTGAACCAAGAGCTTCTTCTACTTTCAGAATCAGTATTACAAGCAACCAGTTGCTGATTCGGGTGTTAAAGTTCCTGATCCTTTAAATATTAATCCTAATTCAATAGCGAGCGTTGAAAAAATTCTTCTTCACATTGAAAAAATTTCAAGGATTAAAGAAGAAATCCGTAAATGGATATCTGTGGCATGCGATGGTGTTCCATACCATCATGCTAGCCAAAACAAAAGAGAAATTTCCTTGGTTGATACTTGTACCTGGCCAGTTATATGAAGAAATGAACATGCTTCGGGCATATGTTGAATTGGATTGGTAATTTTTAATTTCTTTTTCTTTTTAACTAAAAAAATTTTTTAAATTAGGAAAATAGATACCAAACAGTTTGCTAAATTACAAGGTTATAATCGATCAGAAAAACGACTTGGATATTTAAAAAATGTCTTGATCATAAATCCTGAGATTTTATTTGCAGAATTTATCATCATCAGAACTTATGTGACCATATATTGCGTATGCTCCTCCAAGTGAAAAAAAAAAACAGTTAGATAAAATGATTTAATTACGTTTTTATGAATATATAATACATATATATACCTTGAGCTCCACATAACTTATTGTAATATCACTCGCACACAGAAATCTGAAATCAAATATTTGTTGATAAATAAATAAATATAAATATTTCAAAAAAAAAATTTATTACCGAGTTTCATCATTTATTATTATAGAAAAGAATTATGTCATTTCAAAATACGCGACACTTAGAGCGATGTTTATTTTGCTGTGGGTTTTTACGTTGACTTGATAAAAAGACGGATCCAATCCATAACATCACCCACCATTAGAAAAAATGATGTGATTCCCAATCCATAAATACTTTACTAGTCCTATCTCTTGATAAAAATAGTTATTGTATGGACACGGCAGATAACAGTTTTCAAAACATATTAATATATTTGTTTGATCTTCGGAACCTGACATTAATGGCTCAGGACACAATGATGATGATAATGATGATAAATTTAGTGATGAGAATGAATTTAACGATGATGATAAATTTAATGGTAATGAAAGCGAATGTAATAAATAATAATAATTATCATCAACGCCTTTTGTTCCTTCTGTTTCTCTGAAACACTTTTTTATATAGATGATTTACTTGACTTTTATAAAGAAAAATGTTGGAGAAGGTCAAGATTGTCAAACTATATTGGCAAACAAAAGGCGATGGATAAGTTGTGTAGGAGGATTACCAATAATGAAGAGAAACTGTTGTTTGGTAAATACTACATATCTTTATGATGCGATTTTATATTATTTAGTATATTAATTTATTTTTTCCATTTTATAATCACAGCCACCATTCTTATCAAGTTCTAAAGGACATGTTGTTTGTCCAGCAAATCAGCTGATGTGGAAGTTAAGGAAAAGACTTGGAGTAAAAATTATATTATTATCAGTTTAGAACTAGCAGAATATGCGACAAACATCGACTATTACGGGCATGTGGACATGTGTGCCAAACCCTCTGGAATTGTGATATAAACGCTGCCCGAAATCTAAGGAACATGAATGAAGAAAACCTGAGGTTTTAGGAAGAGGGAGGGGACTTAAGTTAACCCACTGCTGCACGAGTCGGCTATAGGATGATTTCGATTTAGCATAACGAATTTTACTTGTTAAAAAGACATGCAATTAAGTTAATTATTTTCTTTTTTAAAAATTTAAACCATAGATATTTTATTATTTTTGAAGAAACTTCCATTCATGCATTTCATTTCTCGAAAATTGAATGGAAGATCTCCTGCTCATTCATTCTATCATTCATTATTCATTATTCATTATATTATTTATCATTCATTCATTCAATTATTCACCATTCATTCATTCAATTATTCACCATTCATTCATTCAATAAATTAATTAATGCTTCAAAATAAAATATATTTTTACTAAAATGATAAGTTATCGAGGTCCGAGCTCTGAGAACTCGGTAACGTCATTAAACCTTAATGCGAAAACTTGAAACATTGTTATTTAAAAAGAACTCTTTATAACAATGCAGTTTGCATGCATTTTTAATAATGATAATCACGAATAAAGTAAGACTCTATTATATTAAAAAGATCACATACATTCTTTTAAAATTTGCACCAATCATAATAAAGGTCTTTGAATTATGCTCTAAATTATTATTATTTTTTATTTTTTTTTTTTTTTTTTTAGAATCGCCAGGAAAAAAAAAAAAAAAAAGTTACAAAGATATACACAAATTAATATTATAAACCAAAATCCTCTACGCTCATTATATATACAAATTAATAAATAAATAGTTCATGATAAAAAAACGCTAATATTAATATTTAGCATTTCTTTTGAGCAATGACTTTAAAATTATAACAGTAAGCATTACACTGATTGAATTCATTAACAATTATTTCAAGAAGTTTTTCATAATTATTTTCAACCATAGATTTAATTTCGCTAAAACTATTACTATTATTATCACACGATAATATTAATTCGGTAAATAAATCTTTAAAATTTATTAGATACATTTTATAACTCTCCAAAAATACTTCGCCAATTTTGCCACCCCATTTACCTATCACCAATTTGTTTTCGAAATCATTGATGTATTGAATGTTACCATCTTGTTGCATTTGTTTTAATGCTGATTTAATCTTTGGAAAAAGATCGAAATTTATTTTATATTTTTCGTATATGCCTTTTTTAACTATTAAAAAAATAAAATGTTTAATTGTGAAAAATGATATAATAAAATAACACACATTCGTATATAACACACACATACTTTCTTGATGGATGGAACTATCTATTGGACCCGAATCAAGAAACTCTTTGTCAAACTCTAAAATTTCCATCCAACCACCAGGTTTCACTACTCTAATTATTTCATTCAAAAGATCCAAATAATCATCTTCTCTAAGATGAAATTTCATGTGTTGCATGTAAACAAAATCAAACGTGTTGTCGTTGAAAGGTAATCCTTCCAAGACATCGACAAGCTTGAATTCGACATGATTTGGTTTGATTTCCGTAGGAAATAATGGGAGTTTGTCTATTCCTATATAATTTGGTTTCGTATATGTGGTTGCCATATCCATTGTCCACGTGCCTGTGCCACATCTATTGTTATATTATTAACATATTTTTCTCGAGAAAAAATTTATTTATTTATTTAATTTAATTTAATATTTACCCAATATCAAGAATTTTTGCTTCGTCACTATTCAAAAGTAGATCTTCGATTGGAGCAGTAAATAAATTTTTCCAAGATTCCTTAGTAAAGAAATGAAATGTTTGTAATCTAGCCAATTCATTCTCGTCACTACTTAAATATAAGTTATTACTGGAATTCTTGTTATCTTTATCGTTATCAACATCGTCGTTACTACTGCTAATACTACTACTACAATGACCTTCTATTTTTTCATGCGAAAATATATTTAGTTTTCCAAGTATAGCACGTACACTCTCCATATTATGATGATGATGATGATGATGATGATGATGGTGATGACGATGGTTATTATTATTATTATTATTATTATTATTATTATTATTATTATGATTATGATTGTGATTGTGATTGTGATTATTATTATTATTATTATTGTGCTTTTTTTTTAAAAAAGAAATTGACGGGAAATGTGGTTTTTTTGTCATTTTTGTAAATTCCAATTTACAATTTATTAAACATTTTAAGAGAAAAAAAACGTATTTATATATTTGCTTGAGTTTTGGTCCAGGCCACATGGTATCTTTCTGTGTATGAAAAAAATCGACTTAATTTTTTCTTTATAATAAAAACTGGTTTTATTTGGAACCCTTTTTCTTTTTTATTTTCTAAAAATAAATAAATATTGATTTTTTTTTAATTTCAAAAAGTACTTTTTGGGGGTTACAAAGAATTTAGCATGAATTAGAAAGAACATTATTATTGTTACTACCGTTAACCAGCATTAGTGTAGCCAAATATTTTATTATTTAGGCCGTGCAATTTTGATTATTTGCAAAAACCAACCAGTCGCTGATCACTGATGTGATCAGTAGATCACAATAAAATTCAAATTTACCACTCATGACCGCTATTTGAATATTAAATATTGCTTTTAATTTTTTCTTCCGGGACCAATAAACCTCCGAAATAGTGAATAACATTTATGGATATTATTTTATGAGGAGGAGCCTGAAATTACTAAAAGTTAATACAACTTTAAATTCATGTAACAAATAAAACTTTATTTAATTAATATGTAACGTGTAACAAATGCTTGGGTCTCCTTTTTGATTAATTAATTAATAATAATCATCTTTCTCGTTTCACATATCAATTACAGATTGCGTTACAATGAATTCGCATTCTGTATTGTAGACTAAACTAAAAATATATAGATTAACTAATGATATAAAAGGATGGATAATTGTTTATTTTTTATTATATAATATTAGATAATGATTATTATTCACTTAGTAAGGTTTCTTCTCTATCCATCTATTTTTTTAATAAACAATGCGAATTGTTAAATTGTTAATACTAGAAAATTAATAATTCTTCAACTCGAACCTTTATAAAAATGTCTCAACGACCATCGTATCATTCATTCATCTTTTTCTAAAAGGCGCTTATATATTACTGCTGAACAAAACGCAGATTTAACAAACTAGTCCTCAACCAAAAATAAGCGGGCCTACCGTTTCAATTAATGAAGCCATAAAAGGCTTTTGAAACTGCATTTAATTTTCTAGTATTACTATTACTAATTGTCAAACATGCTTGACCGCGCCTAAATTAGGCCTAGACCGTTACATCCTTAAATGGTTAAGCTCGACTAAAAATGATCTTTCCGTTTAAGGCAATGAAGCTTCAATAGCTTTGCATGTGACCTCTAATAAATCCACGGGTTATTTTTTGACCTACAAAAAAATACATGCTCTTCTGGTATAATTAGAGATCCATAATTTTATACTATGTTATAAACTAAAAATTTGCAAGCTAATCTTTTCTTCATCATCCAATGTATATTTACTGCAATGCGGTTTATCGCATGGTTTACAACATATAAATTGGCGAATTTAAATGTTATTAATGACACCTGGTTTATTGTTCCATAAAGCAAATCAAAGTCTCTGTAATGAACTAAATTAAATCTACCTAGGATTTGGTATAAATCCAAAGGTTCAATACATCCAATGGTAATTGGATTGGCTTACAAAAATTACATTCACTTTTCAATCTAAAGCAAAAATAAATTACATCAAGTTATTAAAACCTACTTGAAACGAGTAAGTTCTAAAATGACAATGGGTTTTGAGAAAGAATCATACTTTTGTAAAGCACATGCTTTATAAATGTTGATCGGAAAACATTATGAAATAACAATAAAAATATTAAAATTTAATTAGGAACTAGAAAAGTGTTCCAGTGCTCGTGACATTTTTCGAAAACACACCAATGTAATACTGTGGAACCAATGGAACAATCAACCACGGAACCAATAAATATTTTATAAAAATATTAAATATTAAAATATTATTACCTGGTTATTGTTATTATTTGAAAATTAACAAAAATTTCAGTTGATTGGTTCAAATAATCTTTTTAACTTTCATTTTACTTCTTTATTATCAGTTGGATGAATCTCACATCTTGACAAAAATTTTAACTAATCATTCAATCATTAAAGTTGGCGCCTGCAACTAAGACGTTGCAACTTGGGATAGAACACAAGAGCTGTAAATACAAGAGTCTGGAACTAGTTGCAAATCAAGATGTTGTAACCTAGGTTGCGACTAATTGCAGACACCAACTTTAATCATCTTCTTCTTCACCATCACTCCCATTATTACTATCATTATAAGTTTCATTGACTAATTCTTCAAACCAAAAGTTTTCAATCATCATTCTCCAACTAGCGAGGCAACTCTTGATTTGACTGATTTTTCCTCATGTGAAAAGTTTTTCACTAATACAAGCTTTACAAACTTTGCAGACAATTGCTTTCGTTACCATAATATCCTTTTTTAGCACAATAAACTCATAAAAATCATGCGAAGGTTTTCCACCAATGTTCCTTTTATTCAAGGTACATCCAGAAAAAGAAAAAAAATTTTTGATAATCACAATTAAAAAATGGTAGATTTTCCAGTGTTACGTTGGTTCTGAATGGACTCTAGTTCCAATGTCTCTAGTCGAATAACTTACAATCATGGACCGATGGAACATATTTATTAAAAATTTAAGTGTTTAATGTAATAAATATGTAATAAATTTATAATAACTCATAAAATATTCGTTCAATTCATTCAAACTTTGCACCTTAACTCCATTGTTAACATGTAAATCATGCATGGTATCAGGATCTTATACATCCAACCAACATGATACGAATTCTGTTTTTTACTTCCTTAGAAATCTCATGAGGATGTGTAGACGAATCCTCGGCCAGATCTTGATAGAGAACATTCCAAACTGAAGACGATAAATCAGAGTATTAAAATAAAAATTATTTATTTATTTATAAAAAAAGTGTATGTTCTTTAAATAAATAATGCTTCTCTGCAATATTTTTTTTCATTGTTCTATATAGTAAAAAATTTGGCATCACTTTATTTTCTTAGGCAATCATTTATGATTCAGAGCTTTTATACCTTGCCGATAAATCCTCCAAATAAAATTCAATGTTCCAAATAATTACCATGGTAATAACGGTAAATTGCAAATGGCACTCCAAAAATTTTTTAATAAAATCCTTAATTGTAATTTCACTCTGTTATCATCACATTAATGAAATTAAATATATTTTCTGGTAGATAATCAATTGTCTGAACGAATGTTCATCCAAATAAGAAATTTCATTAAATTTTCATTCACTATTTCGAATTAAATCATTATTAGAATAAATAATTTTCATTTAATTTATTAACAGGATTCGAATATCTTTACTTTCCCAAGATTGAGAAATGCATGATTTAATTGCTTTAATACAATTTTCAAGATCGTCTGATTCTCTTGGGTGGCTTGCAAAATAAAGCTGATTATATACTTATTTTGATATTGTGATAAAAATTTATCTGACAATCACTTTAAATCAAAGATGATGGTTGTGTTCACTATTCAATACACCACAATAAATCAGTTAATATTAATCTATTAACGAGAATTGTTTCCAATTGATTCATGAAAACCCACCATTCCAGCCAAGTAATGAATGTTCCAACATGTTAATTAGATGGAAGTTTTAAAACTTTTAGAGCTCTCTGTAATGATTTTATGATTTTAATGGGTTCAATTATCATTTTTTCTGTTGTAAAATGTTTTCAGAATTAAATAACTTCTTTTCTATGATTGGATAATTTTATTGCTACGCCGATCATTACTGCTAATAAATTTTTAATAATTCCTCCTATTACTATACATTCAATTCATCAAAACACTAGATTGAAAACTACTATTGCCATAGTAATGACAAAAACACGCATAATAAAATGCACAAATACCTCTGTATAAAATAATATCCTGGTGACAAACTTGAGGGGGAAAAAACACATCCCACGTTGAATTAAATATTTTTGTTCATAAATAACATCCGGAAAATATAAAAAAATTTTACACATGTCAATTGTAAGTTTAATAATAAAAAAGTGTAAAACTTACGTCGGCACTGTAAGATTTACACAATATTACGTTGGCATCGTAAGATTTATGCAAGTTTACGCTAAATTAATTTCCTGATGATATCACTAAATAATTTAAAATTAGGACAATCATACCCATTTCTTTCCATCATGGGTTGACAATTATTTAGTACGTCTCAGACAAAATCTATTTTTTTTCCTTTTAAACAAGAACAAATAATATTAGCAGCAGCAATAGTGATAAACAAGATTGTTGCCCAGAAAATAGGCATTTTTCAAGATAATTAATTATTTTTTTTTAAGAATGTCATAATTCATCGCTAATTTCATTATAGCTATTAAAAATATACCTTAAAATGTTGTGACAAATAACTCTCTCTTTTTCATCAATCTCTCCTTTTAATTTATTAAATCCTTTTAGTTCATCTTTAAAGGAAAAAAAAACATTTTTTATATCAGTCGTTGAAACAGTTTTTTTGTTACACTGAGCACAATGAGAAAGTCGATTAGCTTGGTTTTGTTCTTGACTGCCTTGAACCTCATAGGATAAATTTCCTAATTCTCTTATCATTATATTATATCTAACTTTTTTCCCTCTAGTTTTTTAATTCAGTTATCTAATCCCTCATTGGTCTCTCAACTTTCTCAAAGAATTTCCCCTTTTTTCTTTTTCTGAGCAATTTCCAATTGTTTTCCTCATTCTAGATTTTTCTTTCTCTTATCTGATCACCAAGTTTTCGATTTTATTGCCCACTTCAGGAGTATTATTTTCTGATTTGTTTTTATTAACTTCAACTTTTGTGAATTGATTGTGTCACCAATTAACTTTGGGAGAGCGTGTT